TCTTGTACTTGGGAAAGAGGGCCTGAGAAAGGGAAGGAATAAGAAGAAGACAGAAGTGGGTGGGGGAGAGAGCATGAGAGTAAATCAAACAGACAAGCACCACGGTACCCGGATGTTTTCGTATAGGAAGCATCAAGCACCTTCTTTTCGTCGAAGGCGTCGCAGAGGCCGCGGTACAGCGCATGAAAGGCCACGATGTCCCCGTCGTGAAGGTAATAGGGCGTGAGGTCAGCCCCTCCCCCGAACCAGCCTTTGCCCTGGAATGAGAGAAAGGGAAGGAGGAAGGGTCACACGGCGATAAAGGCGCGAGGGAAGGAAACGACATTGAAAGCAGGATGAAAAGAGAGGGGGGAAACGAAGGAGGGAACTTGGACAGGCTGAGGCAGAGGCTATGACTGTGCCCCTCCCTATCCACCTGGCACTCGAAGTAGCGGACGTCGCTCCTGAAGGTGGGGAGGTGGGGGTTGGCGGAGTGGAGGACGAGGGAGAGGGCGGCAGCTGCGTAGGGCACATCTCCTTGGGAGCAATCGCCCAGGTCCCGGCCCCTGGAGGAAGAAAAGGAGGCAGGGAGGAATTCGCGGAAGCGGCAGCGAGCGAGGGAGAACGAGGCGGGTGGTGAAATGGGCCCATGTGCGGATTGTACGAGACAGAAAGCGCAAGATCGAGATGCAAAAAGCAAGAAGGAGATAGAAAAGGAAAAGGAGACAAGGACTAAGAACGGAGAAATTGGGCATACCTGGCGCTCATCGAAGCAGCCCTCTCCGCGGAAAGCTTTCCCTGAATGATGGATATGCTGACGGCACCTTTCTCGATGAATGCTCCCCCTTCCAATACGCAGGTAGCCCCATGGCTTCGTCCCCCGTCCCGCTCCCATTCATCACATAAAAATTTGACATCTGTTCCGTCCTCTGTCTAGTTATGTCATGCGGAGGGAGGAGGAAAGGACAGGGGGGAGATGATCATGGAGGTGACCAAGGGGCGGAGGGAAGGAGGGAGGACGGCTCACTTAGGAACAAGGATTACGACATAAAAAATGCTCTCAGCCTATCCTTGGTGTGATACCAGATCGCAAAACATGTCTTTCCCTTCCCACCACGTGGTCTGAGGTGAGACCATTTCATACGGCGCAAGTTACCTCAATGGTCTGGATGATCTCACGCTGGATGGCAGTAATGAAAGACGCGAACGTGTCGAAGGTCGAGGTTGGTGAAGATGAGGACAAATTCGAGCCATGAGAGGTAGAAGGTGTACGTGATGATGATGACGCTGTAGAATGTGGGTTGAGATCCCGATGTGCGCCTTTCAGAGGTGCCACTAAGGACGATGGAGAGGAGGACGAGGTAGAAGGAAGCAGAAACGGTCGTGCATAAGGAGCCATGCACACCAATATGACCAGACACAAAGACTGCATTAGTGTCTTAATGAAGTATTTTGATTGCCTTCTTATCATCTCGACACTGTTGCATGTGTAGAGGTGGAATACACGAAGAGTTGAAGAGGCTGGAGAGTAAGGACTTGACACGGCATGGATGGCAGAAGATATCAGGAAAAAAATCCACGAAATGCCCAATACACGTATCAAGATGTCAGCACAATACATCGACCACCTTTCTATCCCGTCGTGAAACTCGAAATGATTTTCAACCTCCTGTGGCCTTCTCACCTACCACACAAGATCCGTTGCCATCAAAGCATGGTCAGAGCTTAAAGTTGAACCTCCCCACCCCTGGAATGGAAAAAAAAAATAACCCCCCCAAAAAAAAGACAAGAGGATCGGTGAGCTTAGACGGATGAAGTACTGCGCAATTTTTCAATGTGGTATATTTCATATTTATCAAACAATAGACGGATACTTTGACTCAACTGTTACTATTTTCGTATGCCAACTAGGAAGACATGGGGGGCGCTGATCACTAAATTTGACATACATCCTCTTATGACTTTCGAAATTCTCGTGAGAATAATATCTCCTCCACGTTGATTTCATGCTCTCAAATACTTAAGTAGTACCACTACTTTGTTTCGTTCCACATTATACTAAATTTTTTTTGCTTTTGGCATGTCTTGTGTTAAAATGTGCTAGAAATTGTGTTGGCTTGGAGCCCCTTTTGACTAAGGAGATATTATACCATACCTACGTATCTAACCTAGATAATAGGAATATCATTATCGAGTTTGATTTCCCAAATGCGGGTAGCCAGGAGCTCATATCCTTCCTGAATAGGATGAATGCCGTCGTCCCCCTGGATTATAGCGTGCGAGCGTGAAGGTAAGAAGTTTCCTCTCGATAATTTCATTTCCTACGTTTGTGTCTCCTTTACACGACCGGCTCTCGTTGTCAACCACATTCCATCGATCCTCAAATCGTTTCCCTTTCCCATTCGAATCCTTCTTACCAAGGGCGGATCAAGATCTCGGGTGTCGGCTATGTGGCAATCAATGGTCGCGTTCTTGCACACATTGGAGAGTAGCTTGAACCCCTCGTCGACGGCCTTGTTCAGATTCTCTAGATAGTACGGACTATGGACAAAGAATAGACCGGCCGAGGAAAAGGGACGGTAAGGGATATCAGTGCACGGGGATATACCACACTTTTCATTCATTGAAGGATGCTAGTGCGAGAACTTTTGTGGATAGACAATGGGGGCATGGCGGCAGAAAGCGAAAAACTGGGAATGTAGCATCTTGGTCTTAGGCCTAGAAACGCCTCACGCCTTTTTCCAGCTGACGACGTACCCCATGAGCAAGACATGCTGGACCTTATCCTCGTGCATCCTCTCCAAGAGGTCGGCGAGGATGTCTGTCGCCTCCTTGATCTGCTGCTGACACCGGTCGTTGAAAGACAAGCAGTCGTCTTTCACGCTGATCACATCGTTGCCTCCCCTGCAAGGAAAAAAGACGAATGTGCGTGTACATTGAAGGAGGCTCGGTTGAGAAACGAGACTACTCGCTTCGCCAATACCCAAAGTACTGGAGGTGGCCACCCAAACGTGGCCTTCAGTACCGCCTCGATGCCACTCCACCAGGCAAGGAGTCCAATCCGCAGCCACGAGAAGGGGGGAGATCTGCGGCACTTACCCATCCATGACGATGGTGATGGGCGGGGGGTTCTTGGACATGATGCTGTACTCGGCTGGGATTGAGGGCACCCATCTTTGTGAAGGCATGAAGATGGGGGTGTGCACGTAAAGTGAGATCACGATATCTTATTTATGACGAGTCGTAGATGCAGCTATCTATGCATGGGTGCTATCGGCCAATAGAAATTACCTACCCTTCGTGGAGGCTAGCGCCTACTAGGGCCATATTTTCGATGGTTACATTTCCGCCGGCATAGTACTCCAAGGCGTTCTTGACGGCGTTATTGGAGAACATGCTTTTAAAAAAAACAACAAGACAAATAATGCGAAGTATGAGTATGGACAGGCAAGAGACTTACAAGTACTTGAGATATTGATGTAATATTTTTAGAGGAAACAAAACAGAGCCCTATTGTGCGAGCATAAACAATATTAAATGACAGTCATACAGGTGTACTGCAATTATATGGCCACTGACCTATCTCCAATCATGACAGTACGTCCAAGGCAAAGGGCTGGCAAGAGAAAGAGCGTGGCGGCAAGGCGTCGGGACATTTCTTAAGTGGGATGGTTAATTTTACGGTACTTTGTAGAAGTGGAAGTGAATCTGCTCGATTTGATGGTTAAAAATTGGAATCAAGACATTAATCAGGAATAAAGTGAGGATCTTGACAGGAATGGGCACATGATCTCTAATTGAAGTTGACTTCGAAGTCCTGCGTACATGTTTTCAAGATGATTTGCAGATACAAATGTGGTTCTATCAAGCAATTTTACGTTCAGCAGCGGCAAATAAAAAACGAATGCCGTGCATTGGAGTCGGGAGACATAATAATGCATGCTTACTTAGGTATAAACCAATCTTACGCTATCCGAGCGTTTCACGTGGAAGGGGGAAACCGTTTCGCGTTACGCCCAATCCCCTTCAACCGTTACGTGGAAAAACCGTCGGTTCGCCCTCAGCAAGTTAGCAGCGAGCTCGACGAGGGCAAGGGGGACGACCTCTAGGAAGTGATGTCACATACACTGGTGAGCTCACACTGAGAGCTCAGAGACAAAAAGAAAAGAAGTGTGCAAAATGTCTCTCCGTTCGTGTTTCTTTACCCAGTGCGCGCGCGTGTAGCAACCAGATCCAGGTCCCACAGACCTTTTGGCAGGTGTCCCACCCTCTCGTGCCACCCGTTCCATTGCTATGGCATCCATATATATCGACGGGTACCCACAGGGAGAAGAAAGGTACAGAGGAATACCACGTAGGTAAAACTATGACAACACCTTTTTCTCCAAGGAGAATCTATACCTCCCCGGGGTGCATACATCCCGCCGGGTGTATTGCGGCTCGCCTCGGTCCGGCACCTAACCGAAGTGCCCTATTCTGTCTATCCATCGAGAAAGATCCATCACTCACTTATAGCGCCCTTCACCGGTACGCGATTACGCCGTCTCGCGACGTGAATACTGCTGCTTTGACCTCCCCTTCTGAACAGCAAAAAAGATATAGTATAGGCACGGCATTCCTCTGCGTATGCTATAGTCATATTCGTGCTTGCCCTCCTGTCAGCGACTTCGAGATACAAAAGTAAAAAAATCACGCCCCGTGCTGCGCTTATCGGGGGTTTCACAATACATTTTCTTGATCAATCTGTGCCTGATCTGTGCCTGACAAATAAATAGGGACAAATGAATGGGAAGCTATCCCTTTGCTTTGTCCGCTTCGATATATACTTAGATCGGAATAAATTGTTGTACCGATATCCAACGTTAAAGAAGATGATGCCGATTTCGCAGACTGCTTGCACACCTTTGCATATGATTACCGCGTGAGTGCTCTGGTAACACCCAAAGTCTCACTTTGATACCCACGTCCGCATAGGGGCCATGATTACGATAGATTAGTTATTGATTAATTACGGAAATACTTCGACATGAGTCGGGAGAAAAAAATCTAGAGAAAAGTACGTTGCAAGAAACACCAAGCTCACTTTCTTTTGGTGCATTAATATACCTTTGTGTTCCGAAGTTCAACAGATATGCATAATATGCAGTTCAAACGTATTCAATAAATACCACAGGACTATTTCAGTTTCAGAGCCAGCAATAAAATCCCCAAAAAAAACATTATACGCAACGACTTGCGAAGTCGAAGTATAGAGTGGATTCAAGTACCATAATTTACAGTTCCCTCGTCTGTGAATGGAATCGATTTCTCATGTTTAGTTTTGCTTGCATTATTACACCTCATGACTCTAACATTGCAAAATTGTATACGGGTGTTTATTTTGCGGACTGAAACTGGTCCCGACCTCACTTACGCTGAATTTGGTTGCTGCCCCAGTCCCTTTCATCATTTAAGGCACAAAAGTCATACTCAGAACCCAAATCTTACAATCTTACATACTTGTGAACACTTCGGAATAAGAAATGTATTTCCACGCATTTAATATATTCCGTTGGCTTTCCAAGGTAGTGTTTGTAGGTGTGCCTTTTGCATAGTCTCGTGCTCTTTCCTTGCGCGACAGAAGAAATACAGAACAAGGCTTTAAAGCTATGTAAAATAAAATAATGTAGTCAGTGTTGAGGAACCTTTAGTAAAATTGGTCGAAAGCATACATGTGACACGGTGAAATTCGTTACGAGTAATGTTCCAGGGGATGGAACACGGGGCGAAGTTCCGATTACGCTTTCTTCTGCACGCCAAGATATCAGCTCATTATTTTTCAAAAAATCTCTTTATATTTGTATCGCTTTGGCATGAGACACGGGGCAGTAATCTTATCGTAGGCCGCTTCGACCAAAAGTATGGAAGGTCACCATGAAGTCGACATGCGTCTGACTCGATCTTCGTGACGATCTGCCGAGGCGATTAAATCGCCACAGGCGTTGCTGTGTGCGTCTTCATAAACTTACCTTACGAAACTTGTTGGGGGTGAGAGACGAAAGGCTTGCTTTAGAGTCTGTTTGATGGAGACAAATCCGAATCACCTGTCCAAGCGGCTCTCCGAAATGCGTGGAGCTACGTAAGTAAGAAAAGTGCAAGTTGGTTACTAGTACGTCCTCCCCTTTGCTCATGCCCAAAATGCTTCCGACACAACAATTCTTCCTACCTTTTTTGAAACACACACATACTCACAAATGCAAAGAGGATGTCACATCTGCCAGAGGTCCCTTCAGGGCCCTCAAATCCTTCACATGGCAACGACAGGCAGAACCAAATTACGGGGCAGAAGTCGTCCTCTGAGGAACAAGAGTCGCGATGCCCTATCTCCTCTCTTCTCGGCAATTTTTTCTACACTTCGACCTCCACACTATCACATTTACCCACGAGTAATCCCGTGGGAACGTTGTCCAGTTTCCTTGGGATTGATTGTCCGTTACGGTTCGGGCGCCATGCATCCGCGGAGCAGGCAGCGAGGAAGATGGCGGGAGGGGGCGTATGCCCTCTCGGATTTGGGAAGCGTCAGACCATTGCGGATAGTCAAAGCAGTAATGGGACCGAGGAGAGTGCGAACTCACCATCAATTCCTCTCCCTGAGATGACCCTGGCGAGGCTTCGGGACCACGCACACCTTCATCTCCTCTCCGTCAAAGGCACGATATATGATGTCTCGCCTCAGGCAGAAGTAAGGACACTGCTGACGATGGCATGGAAATGCTTTGAGATTGTCCTGGCATATTTCTGTATGTTTATCTCTTAGTTTCCCCTCA